ATATATATAATTATTTAGAAAAGTTTTCAAATATTTATGTTAAATTTTATCGTGCAAAAAGTAATATGTAATAATATAATCGCTGATTAGATGAGAAATATAAAGATCTTCACACTTTTAATTTAATATGCCGATAGATAGATATAAATAAATAAATAACAATTAAATACGTATCTATAAAATTATCATTAAATTTATAGGAAATTATTTTATCATATTGTTCTTATTATGCATTTTATATTTCATTAGTAATTTATAAATTATTAATTTATTGATATTTATTTGATTTATAAAAAATGTAAAAAAAATCTAGATTTTTCCATTTTAAGTGAAAGATTAATATTTATTTACATTTAACTTGGAAACAAACATGTCAAATTACTATTCCTACTGTATGTCAAACGTGTGTGTTTAAAGTAAAGCCGCAAAACATAATATTTACGAATCATGAGTTCATATTGAACTGCCTGATTCGAGCGTTCTCAGTGTGAGTTTGTAAAAAGATGAATGTTCAAATAGAAGCGCAGATCAAGTCGGTGATTGAGATTGCACTGATTCTTCAATAATTATTGATAAAAACACGATTGATAAAATGTCGTGTCGCAGTCCTATATTTATTAACGCATCCGTCTTTCACTTTACAATACGTAATTATACATAAGGATAAGATACTAAGCTCTCTGCCCGCCAAAACTTCAAGTTATTTGCAAGTAAACATCTGCAAAATCGATTGGCCTGATCTGCGCTCAACTGCCATCGAATGTGAAAATTCAATGTGCGTAAAATTTGGTATAGAGTTTAATGTCAGATGCGTAAGCTTAAAATATTATAAGATAGAAAATATACACACAATATCCCATAATTCGCGTTTAATAATTATATAGCGCTATTCTTTAGAAATAAGGATGTGGATTAAGGCAGACGTATTTAATAATACCTCCTCCGTTAAGGAGAAAAAAAAAACGGTTTGGGACTTTTTGACTCTTTTTTTCATTAAAGAATAGCACTTATTGTAATTAATCGACGTAAATTATGAAATACTCTACATGTCATTCGAAGATTACAATCGACTCGTGATTGCTCCACTGTATTATTATTAATCGATTCTTCTATTCTGCAGTAGATAGATTTTTATAAAAAAATTTTAACTTATATTTGTGAAGCAAATCAATAGATTGTAATTCTTTAGCAAACCAAATTTATTATTCTTAACGACTGGAACAAAACCAAAGAAAACAGATTTCGAGAGCGAGAACTATTGATCTCAAAAATAGAATGTTACATATACGTGTGTTCCCGAAAAATTAGCGATAATTTATATCTGCCAATTTACTTGGAAAGATAATATTTCAAAGATGCCAAAACAATACTGTACCCAAACTGTTCGCTACCAAATATTCGCCCGCTAACATTTCAATACAATTTGATGATTTTAAAATACAGTAAAAACAAAACTTTAAAGTTCACAATTGTATAAAATACTCAAGTAGGAAAGTGACGTCGAAAAATGTTTTAAAACATTTCAATGACATTTTTAACACCAATACGACGTTATTAAAACGTCATCTTGCTATTTGGGTATATAAGTATTATTGTTTACTTTATCTTAAAGTAACGTAGCAAAGCAAAAATTTTTTAAAAGCACTCTTACAAAGTGCAAGAATTTGAAAGAATTTGAAATTGTAAAAGTATAAAAGAAGGCTTGTGTTCTAAGAGACTATAGTCGCTATCGCTGACGTCAGTAGTCTCGCGTTGAACCACTACAGAATCGCGAATCGATAAAATCGAAAGTCTTTACCGTGATTGTATCTACTATTATCGTAGTAAGTTAGTTTTTAGTAAGCGTATTGTAAGTAGAGCAGACGATGGGCGAAGGGAGTTCTCTTGTTCGTGTAGAATTTTTATGCCCGTAAAGGCCCAACACATGTAATCCATCCATAAGTAGCTAAGGTCGACATGGCTTCTCAACGGGCTAGATATTGAGAGATGCTTGCATTATTGATCCTTGACATATTCAAAATAACGTCTCTAATGTTCCGTTATATTATAATATATTATTTATTATTTATTAATTACTCATCGTGAAATGCAATATATGACGAAGAAATTATTTTTTGCGACTACATTAGGGCAAGTGCAATAACTAGGATTACTTACTAAAGTCGAAAAAATCGATTCAATTGGTTAAAAATAAAAGTTTATTACAAATATCTTCTAAATGATGTAAAGGAAGAATGGGTTATATCTGCAGGAACTTGATAATGTGCAATCGCTGTTAAGTATAAAAGATTTGGTAGACGAAGGGTTTCTTTTTAAGCAAAAGGTCCTCCTGATATCTAGTCTCGGGCCTCGAATACCCAAAAATCAATGTTTTCCATTCGTAGAGCTAGTCAATTACATCTCAGTGTACAAAAAAAAAACTTAAGCTAAATGTTTTCGTACTATCTCTTCACTTTTACTGTGCATTTACCTTCATATAGACATTTCATCCCTCCTACATCAATGCTTTGTTCATCGCGTCTTTTCATTACGACTAGTGAGTCATCCGTATTATCGTAAACTGAAACTGTTTATAGCTGCTTTCCCTTTAGGAGATAAGTCGACACAAATGTTGTCCTACCCTTCTTGATATTTAATAAAGAATAATAAAAATAGAATGACATTCGTGTCAATTGTGATTTTTAAAAGGAAAGCAGCCTATATCTCACGACATACATCTTCATCTCCACGATCATCCAACCACGAACAACGATTTCGTACTACATTCCTTCCCACGACCATCCAAACACGTAACGAAACCCAAATTACGTGCAATACGTTAGTATTTGAGGAGGAGAGATAAGCAACAAATTTTACACTGCGTAGGAATCAAAGAAGCGGAAAAATAAATGACGTTAACATACTCTTTATATAATATAAGCTTTGACGCTTGAATGCGCCCGTCACGGATGTCGCCGCACGAATTGTCGAATTAAAAAGCAATTAAAAGGCAAATCCTTCCTATAGAGTTCCATATTTACAGAGCGCAGTATTTTTTCAGAAAACAAACCTTCGGATAGAGGAGATGACTCTTGCTCTTAATTATTTCTATATGTTTAATATCAAGACAATATATATATATACGCGAACGCATTACGTGGTACGAAGTACCGAAAATATATATAATTGATCACGCAAACACGTACATATGTATTTTTCACAACAGCATGTTGAAAATTATCGTGACAAGTGCAAGCATAAATGTTAAGTGAACGCAGTAAGTCGATACTTCTTTGAGCAAGTCCTTGTAAATTCTGAATTTTATCAAATGTATAATTATAATATTTCCGGTGCTTGGGTACATATGTAACATAAACAATTTCCTGTATGTAGTTAGCTACAATATTACGCGGATTATCCTACTGGATTGAGCGAATGTGTTTATACATAATGTACACCAGCGTAATCTACGTTACGTTTACTATCCTTTCCTATTTGAATGTCAATGCGAAGGTACGCGCCTGATGAATCCGGGCTCTTCGGTTTTTGTGTAATTATCCCTGATTGGTAATTATCAGTAAAGCGTTTAGTTCATTACCGCATTGTAATTAATGTAACAGTTATTAATGGAACAGTATTATTATGATTAGAAAATATACTATATATAATTCGATAATGAGATCGCGTCCACCTTATTATTAATCGTACACATTTCTTCTCTTCTCTATGTTTTTATTTTATCCTAATGGGCCGACGTTTCATAATCATTATTTGATACGATGTATAAATTAAAATTAAATTCTTTTACACTTAGCATGCAATCTATAAAAGATAATCTAAAGAAACTGTTTGAAATTGCGTAATTGTTCGTAAGCATCGCACAATAATTCTTTTTTTCAATACGCCATGTTAGTTAGTGTAATTATCTTAAATCAATGGTTACTAAAACCTACTGTTGGACTGTACAAGTTAATATTTTTTTAATTAATAATTATTCGTACCGAGAATTAAATCAAAACATATAAAGAAATAAAATTTGTTCAATTCAACTGTATCCATGTTAATTGATATAAAAATCATGAAAAATTTTTAGCTCTTTAGATCTTCGTGAATATATAAAGCGTGGGAATGAGTTTTTCAAACTTAGAGATACAGTTTTCAAAGTACGTTCTGCTAAACGTTGTTGTTACAATAACTTTTATCTTAATTTCTTTTAAAAGCCTAGAAATGAATTCTGAAATATTTTAAGATTTCTCATTCTATAATTTCCGAAAAAAAAACTTACAAATCTGAAGAGACTGAAAATACTTTTTAGAAATCTTTAGAAATTTAAAATATAAAAATTATTTTAGGTATTATATTAAGATATAAATCTTTTCACCAGAGTGTAATAGCGATTAATATAGATAGCAATTAATAGAATAGTCTAGCTTCACATCTTTCTTCTTTAAGTATCGTCGCATAAGAATATTCTATTTGTATAAGTCAATAAATATACTATATATTATTTTGATTCTTTGGGTAAGTATATAGTTATATCTTGATGTATGCAGTTTACATACAG